CGACTGATGAATTACTTATACTACTTGAAAGACTGCGCCAGCTTTTTCAGGTTATGCATGACTGCACAGAGTATAGAGAGGAAATACACTATTTCATAGTTAAATTTTCAGACAAAACAAAAATAATCATTGTCGTAACATAAGTGCACATGACTGTTATAAGCTGAATCAAAAAGGCACAAAACCCACAATATTTTAAAGAATACACTGCTGGCATCTGTATTTATCTCTCCTGTCTTTACTGTGGTCATGCAAATGTCCAAGAATTCATAGAGCATATTCGCTTTAGCTGACTTGATGGAGGGAAAATGGTTATTGAAAGCATTTCCCCACATAAACTTGTTGGGTTCACTGAAAATCATGAAGAGAAATAACAGAGTAATTGAAGGTTACTTTTAACAGTGGCACTACAGAAATGGACTGAGGGTACATAGTAACTAAATAATAAATGCCACGTTTAAATCAATGCCTCAACAGTAGGCCTACAAGTGTGTATGTGTCCAAAAAAGGTGAAAGATGAAAGGATGGGAAACGTTGAAGATGGACCACTCCTTTTTACATCTACTCTCTAAATGCCAAGTGAAACAGATCTACCGTCTGGATTTCCATCCGTCCCATAGGTGCACTTAAATGGCCAATGAGAGCTCAGTTCTCCTTTGGAGGAATGCAGCTGTTGGACACAGCCAAGCCTGCTCCTCATGTCAGCTGAGAAGCAGAGAAAAACTCCCCAGCATCTGCGCTTCCTCACAAACAATCAGTCACTTTGAAACCTGACAACCCCAAAACCAAAAATTGCATTTTTCACATTAAGTGGAGCATCACAGGATTATATTCCAAAAAGCGGAGAGCATCAAGAAGGAGAAAAACTATTTATTTTTTCCAAGTATCTTGTCCAGCTAATAATTCATTATTTGGTAATCCAGTTTTTAAGAAAACACACAGAATAGCAGACACAAATGCCTTGGAATGGAAATGGAGTCTGTAGCGAAATGACAGCGGATCAGGCGCATGTCCTGTGTGTGGCCTGTGTGAGGTCCATACTGCAGTGGCACTCGAAGTTGGAACAGCTGTTGAAGCCAGCAGACATCACTGATGAGGCAGTCATTAGCATGAAGGGGAATTTCTCTCAGTATTCAGAGCATTGAGGGGAAATGGTCACGTTTGCATACGCCTCTACCCCAGAGGACCTTGGGACTAAGGCTCGAACTACTGCTGGTTAACGACTGGAGTATTATATACTTTCAGAGGGAGTACAGCTAGCTGTCCCTTCCAATAAAGCCAGACTTCTTTGAGCAGCATGGACTTTGTTCAGGAAGCAGAGCTTCCAAAGCCCAGACACCCACAGTGATCTGTTTCTTTGAACAGAAGAAAGTAAGAGAGAGCCATACTACAAAGCTGTTTCTTGTTTACCAGTCACCTAGCGGCTGACAAAGAGCAGAAATTCCACGGAAGTCAGACTGCTCAGATTGGGCTTGTTTTAACATTCTGCTCATCTTGGCCTGAGTAAACAGCATATATTTCAACACGGCTGGGGGAAAAAAGAACTCAGATCTCCAGCAGCCATGGCACAGTTACACAGGAGGTGCCGAAGAAAGGTTAAACCTCAAGGACTGAACTTGGAACTGCAAGAATCCAAGTATCATCGCATTCCATTGGATTCATCTAATATACCCCATCCTTCCTACCTCTCTTACTATTGCGCTTTAAAGAGGATAATGAAGGGCTCCTCTCTTTTACAAGGCAGTTTAATTTCATATCTTTACTCATCATTTTCATTTTCCATTCCACCTCTTATTGAAATTAATCCATCTTTTCATCCCCCTTTCTAAAATCTTTTCCTTTTTTCTTTAGAGCCATCTTTCTTTTTTTAACCTGGTTCCATTGTCATCATCATCATCATCATCATCAAGCTCTAATAAATAAACAATAAATTAAAATTAAAAAGTGATCCAGAAGTCAAACATCTCAGATAGAAAACATGCCTCAATTATTTCTAGCCTTGGTTTCCACAAACACGTTTGAACAGGACAAAGTACAAACCCCTCGCCAAATTTATTTTGAACTCCTTCTCGGCCACTTTTTACAGGGCTTTTCGGCTGATTACTTCTGCAGGCAGGAATATAGCCAATTATCTCTATACTCTCAAACTTCGGAATGTGCGTGATTTATGTCTGTAATGTCTGCCTTTGAATCTCTCCAAAAAATAAGATTAATGTCAGCGGCATAACAATAAATTATATTTGTCATGCTATTCAAATTTTTAAATAAAATAAAGCAGAATATGGTAATATAAACATATGGAAACAAGCTTCATTTGAGCTAATACTAATACGCTGTGCTTGTTGTGCTTGCCGTACAACACTCTAATGTGCCCTGCTTGTAAGTCCAGCAGCTTCACATTATCTGACTGAAAGTAGAAATAAAATTCAAAATTAAAGACGTTTTTATAAAGGGCATGCTGACTTGTTTCTTATGTTTTATAAAACCCTTTTTTGTAGTAGGCTAGTATCGCAGGGAAATTATCAAAAATGGAGGCAATATTTTAGTAGATATCAATGCTTTGAGGAAAACAAGTGCCGTTAGCAGAAACCACTAGTATCCCGGTGTTTAAGATTCACAATACTTTTTAGGCAGTGTGGCGGGGAGAAAAGGGTTAAATATTGCTCTGCCGTGTTGTTTTTTCAGTCTGGACAGACAGCCTGGAGCAGACAGTCACCTCTGTGAGCTGATGAATTACAGTTGAAAAGGGCCCAGCCACTCCCAAAGCCTGGACTGGCCCCTTCACTCTGTCAGACCCCAGGGATTCTTTGGGAGAAGGAGAGCAGGAGAGCGGGAGAGCAGGAGAGCGGGAGAGCAGGAGAGCGGGAGAGCAGGAGAGCAGCATGGAAGCAAGGCTGAACATCAAGAAGGCGACATCGATGATCAACACCTAGGTCATGACTGTAAGCTCCTCCTCTTCCTAAAACAGTCATGCTATCACATGCCTGGTCAAGGTAGAGACAGTCCTGACTAGGGATACAGAGCATTTCACTTTATATTGTTCTTTGTTCTACTTATAAGGAATTCCCTATCTTTCACATCCAAGAAGCTCTCCTCCAAACCTATAAATATTCAGAGTGCATGAACTTTTATACCTTTGTAAATTTAAAGTTCTCCTGGTCATTGAGTTATGTTGCAGGCAGAACAATTCCTTTTAAAATGAGTTGTGCAATGAATTTGGAGTCACTCAATACATATGTTAGGAATAGAGAGGGAACGACCACTTAATACACACTCTGCCAGATGCGTATTAGTGGGATTTGAAGAGGGGTTAAGCAACTTCTTAGATAATAAAAAAACAAATCTACTTGTTTGCTCATTTTCTTGGCCCGGTATTGCCAGTGAGGGACCCCATCCAGTTAATATAGGTGGAACTGATTTAGACCCGCTCATCTTTTTCATAGAGGTCTAACAGACAGCCTGGGTTACTAATTGGGAACAGAGGCTTGACTCAAGGCTATGCAGCAAAATTAGAGTTTGACAGCGGAACCCGAACAGACTGTCTCCTTCTCGCGTCAGGTCACAGTTACAACCATTTATGACACCCCACGTGAATTTCTTCCCTTTTGCCAGCAATAAGGAACAAGTTATAGGTGATGTCGAATCTCCATTTTAAAGGAGCTGTTACTACAAAGTCCTTCGTCGCCTCCTTCTATTATCAGGCAGACAGATCATCACCTTGGTTCCTTGTTTTCTTTTTTACGGTCTTGAAAATGACAGTGCTGTTGCGGTTAAGGGTCTGTATAAATGAACAGTGTGTGAAATACGATCTAGTGAGGTGCATATCCTTTACTCACTACATGCTAACTATGCACTCACTTTCAAACTCAAACTTACGGACCAAGGACTAAAAACCAGTAACACAACTGAACCAGTGACCCCACAGCATAAGACCATTGTTTACAGATCCTGCCTTATGTAGCAGACCATAAATAAAGGGGATAATATTGACAGAGGACAACAGATAACCCAGATATATCGTCACATAATAAATACAACATGGAAAAGGCTGTTCAGATTCACCAAATTCTGGACATAATTTTGCCTAGCCCAGCTCTTTGACGTAGACTGGGTGGTTTGGAAATGGAGGTCTTCATAAAGAAGACTTCTGCAGTAGCACAATCTAGAGGCCCCATAAGCTTCTGCACAGTTTGGGGCAACTGGTTCATGAGGGGAAGTGTGTTTTATAAACTTGTATAACATTAAGACCATGGTACATCCATTTTAAAATTCAGCTTGGATTGTGGGACCTGTGGAGCCTCAGCTTTTCTGAGAAAAGATTTAACTGGTGAACAAATAAAAAGCCCTGTTGGTTGAAACTTTTGGTTAGGCATGGGGCAGCCATTTTTGTTTGTAACTGGAAGAGATGTAGCATGTATTTAGCAGTAAAAGCTGGATGATGTCAATGCCTGGAGACGGTAGACTGAGGCCCAAACCCAGGGGACCGAGCTGGTTTCTGACGGGCCCCGCAGAGATGAGTGTGCAGTGTGTGTTTATGCCGAAGGGGGGGGATCAGCATGCTTGAGTGATGGGATGGTGACGGGTTCCTGCTGTGGCTTGAAGCGTTATAAATTCAGTTCAAGCACCATCAACCAAAGCAGACCTTGATGCAGCCACACTGGAGCTGGGTCTTACTGGGTTACACCTCACACTGCTCTTGATGGGGGTCCGGAAGCAAACATTTCCCTCCCAGAGAGGGTGTCAGAATACTAGGGCAGCTTGGACACACCACCAGACCAAAAAAAAAAAACGTGTTTTAATACTTTCCCTGCTTCAAAAAACTGCTTTGTAATTACAAAAATGAAAAAGCTCATTTAAAGATTTTTCCAGGGGTTCTGAATACCCCCCTTTTTTTGAAGACTGCAAAAATAATCCACTCAGAAGGAACAAGAGACACATTGTGGGATGAGATATGAAGAAGAAGGAGAGCAAGAGAGCAAGCGGAGGGAGAAATGACTGACCTCAGGGGTGCAGGGGCTGAAGGCAACGTTTAGGACCGTGTCTGTGTGCCGTGGAAGCTTCTTAAGGTAGCTGCTGCTCCGGATGTCGTAGAGGTAGGCCTGTAAAAGAGCACCCCCTTAGCAGGCCGGCACAATTACCACACTCTAAAACAGAAGCTGTGAGAGTGAAACACTTAAGGTCAAATCCTATCACTTCATTTGCTGGTGATGTCTTTCTCATCATGATTTGGCTGGCATGTATAGCTTAATTTGAACTATTCTGTTCGTGAGATACTGCCTATAATTTTGGCTTGAAAAATACACACAAAGAAACTTTTTTTACTCATTTTCCACAGCTACATAATTGTCCTGTGGTATCTCACTCTTTCAATGAAGAACTGGTGTCCTATCAATAATATCTGCTGTGTCAGACGAAAGATCACTGCGCAGCAAGTGAAAATGCCCCCCCCCAAAAAAAAACCAAAAAAAAAATATTCCAAAGAGGAAAGATAGGGAATTTTCCATGAAATATTCAGAGGAAGGAGAAAGAGTGTGAGACGGAGAAGTGGGCCCATCTGCCTTGAGCACAGATAAAACCAGATGTGAACGTTTGTGTTAACCAGAGGCGAATTGTCAGTGTTCAGCAGATGTTTTCCATCAGGCATCCTGCGAACGAACAGGCCGGCTCTCCAGTAAGACGGCCTTGGCCCATGCTGGAGAGGCACGTGATTACAGGAGCAAGCCTGAAACCCAACGCCTGGCTCATTCGCTGGTGGAGATTGATGGTTCTGCCATGGTACCTTTGTTGTTGGGTTTTGACAATCTGCAAAATCTGCAAACCCTTTAAATAGCTTAAATGAATAATGGCAGACTCATGACGCAGCCTGGTCCATCGTAAAGGGATTAATCAAAAACTTTCGCAATAGGGGCGTCAGAGGTTTTGGACCTGCTAGGCCCTTCATTCCTGTTGCAGAGGTGAAGATGGTGAAGATCTTACTGGTGGTTCACATATTTTTTTTTACAAAACTTGATTTTTTTCCCCGATAAGCAAACATTTTTTATGTGGAAAATAACTACTTTTTCCATGTTATATAAACCAAATTGACTGCAGGGCATTATTCCTACAGGAGGATAACAATACATATCAATTATATAGATGTTATGCATATAGACTTGTGACAATTCTCGATCGCTATTACTCATCAGATGTCTTGTATTGTCCTGTATCGTGGTCCCGAATTCTGGGGTGAGTAGTTTCATTTAAGTTTTATGTTACTATTATAAATTTTAAAATCGATCTGGCCAGATACACTCAGGGATCAAGTGAGACGGGTTATCAAAAGAATCCCAAGGATCATGAAAGGAAACAGTCTTTTATCATTTTGATCACATTTATAACTGGAGAATGTGTGGAGCAGGAACTTAAGAATTATCTGACCTTAAGGATCTTAGTATAAGTATTTGATTTTAATAATAACCAAATAACAAAAAAAGGATTTTATATATTGATGTATACAAAAAAAATTATACACTTCGGAGATTTAAAAAAACCCAGATGAAGGATGCATCTCACAATGATATACTGAAGCAGTTAAAATAGTGAAATTCTTCTAAATGTATTAATAGACACATATTTTGTACATGGAGACGCTAGGGTCACACCTGAACTACTTTTGGTCCATTTGTGTAACCTGACCCGGCCCTTTTTTCCTGCGATTGTCTGGTGAAATGTTGAGGCGCGTACAAATGCTGCTGGCTTATGAATGTCTCAGGGCAGCCACAAATAACAGCGAAGTAGCTCACTACCGAACGGCCGTTGGCCTCCAAAAAGCCCTGGAACCGGCCTCTCTCCATGGACATCTCCTCAAACCCCCGTACTTTGGAGAGGCCCACCATTAATAATGGCTATCAACATTCATATATTATTCCACTGCCTTAAAAAAAAATCTTCTTTATAATGGGCAGAAAGAGAAGATTGGTCCAAGGAAGGGGGCAATCTTCCTGGACCCTGGATATCTTGCAGGGTAGATTTTAGAAGCACCCTGGAAAAGTAATTAAGACAATCTGCTCTCAACTAAAAGGCTGTCTTCAACTTGAAGGTAAAAGGAAAATATATCTAATTCCTCCAGAAAAATCAACAAGGGGAGAAAAAAGAAGGATTTTTTTTCAGCTCAGTGACCAGTGAAAGAGGCTCTGTGGTGAAAGAAAATTCAAGTAGTAATTATAACAAATTTTATTTCAAGGCGAATAGAGGTGACATAGGCCTGTAATCTTTCTGCTCCAGGTCCACAGCACAAGCCACAAAACAGGTCAACAACATTCCAGGAACCTCATCCAAACTGAAACTTGGGTCTTTGCCTCAGCAACATCCTAAAAAGCTTATAAGGAAAGGAGAGGTTTGAAAGTTGTGCAGTTTTGTGTTCTGGTGAATTCATGGAAGTGCAGAAACCTTTCAGCTGTAACCACTTCTGTGTGAAATGAAAATAAAAATCAGTAACTCCAGAGCCTTAATATAGAGCTTTCATAAACTTTCATATCAGGAGTCATTTTACTTGAGATCTGGTACCTTCAAGCCCTGTGCATTGTTGTAATGAAATGTACCTTCCAAAATAATCAGAACAGCTTTTGTTATATATGACAAGAATGGCATACACAAAGCTTAGACCTTTGGCTTAAACCTTCTAGATATATGATTGGTTCCAAGCCTCCCACAACCTACTGGACCAAGCTAACAGGACATCTCGGAGGCTCTGGATTAAATAACACTAAGTGGAAGTGCATAAAGGCTATAGCAGAAGGAATAAGGAGAACTAGTCAAGGCATATGGCACAGATATTTGGCATGGCCGGCTGACTGGCCAACATTTCAGTTGGTTATACTGCACCGATTCATCATGGCTCACGGAAGAGAAGTTCTGGGTGTCACGGGACATTGGGATGTACAAGCACAGTGACCTGCCAAGGCCAGGCAGGTTTACACATAAAGAGAGCAGGGAAATCCAACAGCTTCAGGTTCTGGGTTTGTCATTACCAGCCCCGCAAGGCCCACAGGTAGTTCTCTGAGCCCTGCTGCCCTACATATCTAAAAATAACCTGTGGTGGACATTTTAGAGAAAGAGGGAAGGTTTTCAGTGCCACCGTGTGCTGAAGGGCCTACATGTCCCATCGCACCGGATTCCTTAGGGTGGGGGGGCACTGGTGAGGTGTCTGGGGTATTTGTGATGTATTACGTTGCTTCATCCCCCTTTTTCTGTTATGTTGATCCCATCCCTGCCAATGCCGCATAACTGCCTTTAAAACCCCTTTCATTCTTAGCCCAGTGCCACTGTCACATGGCTTTGTTCACTATCCTGACCAGAATGTTTTTGCACATTGGTATGTGTTTTTTGCAAGGCTCCCCTTGGCTGTGTGTATGTGTATGTGCATGTGCTCATGTATATATTACATCGTGGGGACAAAAACCTGTTATTTTGACATTGTGGGGACCACCGTTACAGTCCCCACAAGGGAAAATTCAATTTTATAAAAATTTGTGACTGCAATCAAAAAACTAAAAATGCCAAAAGTTTCGTATTTTGTTTGGTTATTTATCATTAAAGTTAGGGCTGGGTAGGGGATAAGGTCATCATGTTGGGATTAGCGATTCCCTACTGGGCTTACTGTATTTATCCCACAGAAACAAATTGAGAGTCCCCACAAATGAATACAAACATGTGTGTATATGTGTATTTTTAGCAAATTATAATGTAAAATATAAAATCAGAACACTTTATACTCAAAAGAGATTGCCCTTAAATTTCACAAAAATAAGGCAAAACTGCACTATGAAATCAAAACAATGGGAGCTGAGAAAGAAGATGGTGGTGAAATAATTGTACTGTATTCTGCTTAATGTAGCTGTCCATCACATATCCATTACTGTATGCATACTATATTACAAGTTAGATACAGGCAGTGGGTCATTATATGGCTGGCAGTGCTGCCCATTCTCCTGCACCTGTTACACTAATACACCCACTAATGTCCTACTATATCCACTTTCAGGTGTCCATAAGATCCTCCTTTGTCTAGAAAACAGCTGAATTCAAGGTATGCATTCGATAGGGTGCTGGAATCTATCCTTCTGGAGTTTTATCCATGACATTTTTGTATTTTTGTACCCCTCAGGACTGCCACTGATTGGATCTCTTGGAACTCCACCACCTCAAAAAATTGGAGGATGAACAAGTTGTTTTATCAGTTTTTGAGGGGATCCATCACGATCAAAATGGAACAAAATGGCCTTTTATTTACATGACAAATGATACGTGCTACCCATGTATTTTATAAAGGTAGGATATCTGAGAAAGTGCTTCAGTCCATCGAGAGGTGCTACCTGTAGTGTTAAAACCAGTAATACCATCTGATAAGGCATTTTAGACCTTCAAGACACGTTACCTAGGTTACATTATTTTTTTTTTATTTAATGATTTTTTTTTATCCGCTTTCAGTCTCTGCCCATAAAAAAATGACAGTAGCATTCTTTGAAAGGGTAGCACCGATTGATAGATGGTAGGACATCTTGACAAGGCAGGACAGATTGTTAGAACACCAGCACCAGCAATATTAGACAAAAAGTATTTTGGTTATCGGTCAAGTTTTCAGATGCAGAATTATGGAGAGGCAAGCAAAAAAAAAAAAAATGCATTTAATGTGATATGTTGGACATAAATAGACATATTGCTGTCTGTACTTTTATAATCTCTCATCCTGGCAGCAGTAAGAGGAGGGATTTTCTACAAGATACATGTAGACATTGCCAAAGTGGAGCACTGGCTGGGACTGGGGCTGTTTTTAGTCACTGAAATACTGTAGCGGGTGCTGTATGGTGATCAAAAGCGCCCAAAACTTACAGTATGTTCTCATATCTTTTTACTCTACTGATAGGTAATACAAATATTAATTGCTTGGAACAGATGGAAAATTAATGAACCTACGCTGCAGGTCTGTGGAGTGCCCAGTGTTAACCACCATGTTAGAAGGGTGTTTTTTGCTCTCCGTGTCTCCAAGCCAGTCATGTGACTGAAAACTATTAATAGAAGTGGAAAAAAGACTCAGAGCTTTTTTTTCTTAGTAAAAATA